GGGGGGGGGGGGGGTGTCAGGGGTCTGTCTGTGAGGGGCTGGTCGGAGGACAAAGCGGCTGGGGAAAGTGTTTATACATCTCTGGGACAGGACCCTGCGGGGGCGACGGGATGGGAGTGTCGGGAGAGGCTGCAGGAAGAGCAGAGACAGTGGGACGTTAAAACTTTACCTTTTAACTAATAAAAATGTTTTTCTTTTGGAAAAAGCAAATGTTCTATATTTTTAGTGTGTAAAGTGCATCTCATGTGGCCCACGGGACATGACACATCTATAGTTGCTCCTTTATAGATTCATTCACATCATTCTTGTGTGGCCATTAGTTGGTGTAATATCACCAAATGCATTTTTTATTTTAAAATGGAAGCATAGAATACAGCCAATGCTCATCAATCCTTTGCTTCATTCATTTTTATGACACTCAGGATGCCTGTTTGGGTGCATATTAAGTTCCCACTGCTAATGGAAATGCACCTGGCACATGGAAATGGAACATTTCATGAGGAAATATAAATTATATGTCAGATTTGCCCTGATGTGCCTGTGTGAGTGTGTGTACTTTTGTGTGATAGTGTGCCAAGTGTATGGTTCTCACCTATCTGTGGAGTGTGACTGACGGGCATGGTGCCGATGACCAGTGTGTGTCCGGTCATAGGGTCCTGGGCCAGCTGGGCGTGTGCTGCGTGGTGCAGGTGATTGGGCTCCGATGTCAAGCCTGAACACACAACACATGAACATTCAATCAACTATTAGCTGCATTGGACAGTATGAACACCAATCACACACCAAACAAGATCTCCTCTTGCACTATGTGAATTTCAACAAGCCCTCGTTAGAGCAAAACATGTTTTTTAAAGTCATGACAGTTTTTATATCAGTCTGTAACTGCAGCCGGTATTGACGAGTGTGTGCGTGTTCTACACAGTGATATAATTTGCTTAACTTAATTTAAAATGGCTAAAATCCATATTAGCAGCTCTGTAGTAAGTTCAGCAAAGTTTGTTTATCAGTGTCATTCACGTTAGAAACTAGTGAGTCATTGCATTTCACAATCTCTTTTCTCGCTGTAATAAAAAATATTACGCAAATGTAAAGAGACCTCATATAATTCAACTTTCTTAAATGTTTGTTTAGGTTATCTCTCTAAACATTTGATTAAAATCTACTATCAAATATAGAAAATATATTAAATATTTGTAAAAAATAAATTGAAAATATATTAAATGTTTTTCAAAAATCATTGGAAATATGTTGAATATTTTTTTGTATTAAATTACAATATATATTAAAAATAATAATATATAAAGTATTAAATTGAAATATTATTTAGAGCTAAAATAAATATTCAAATAGCAGCAGGTTTTGTCATCTTAATTTCACAATCCTGCAAAATAACATAAATGCAGCTCCTACAGTCAGGCTGTCATATTCTGAAGTTGTTTTTAGCATTAATGGCAGATCGTGACTCAATACTTATAAGTTTGCCGTTTCACTGAGCAGCAGGTTGAATGTTTTAGCTTTTCCTTGATACATGTGGATTATATAAAGTTTTACCATATTTCTGCTAAATCTTTGGATGTTTTTAACAATTGCTGAGCTCTTGGCAAGGGTCACCCTATTATTTTCCTCTCTGCAGGTTTACAAGCGCAGGCTCGCGGCCCGGTCTCACCTCCCAGCAGCATCTCATGCAGCAGGTTGTCTATCTTGGCCAGGCCGCACAGCTTAATGAACTGGAGCTGTTCGATCATCTGCCAGGTGATGCTCTGCAGGGTGGGCAACAGGAGCAGCAGCTCTCCGAAGCGACCCCTGGAGTCGTACTGACGGTCGTTAATGTAGTCCTCCAGACTCATCTGAACCTGGAGACACACACATGATGCCAAGTTGCCGTCAGTGTAAGCATGCTGCCTTCGTCCTAAGTAAAATAATACGTAGCATAATAACTGATGAATTAAGCCGGCCCGCTCTTCTTTGCTTGCTTGACCTATACCTGCAGACGGATGGCCTTGATCTTCGAGGGGTCCCGCAAAGACTTTGCATCTGCAGATTGGGAGGTAAAGAACGGAAGTGAGGAATGGATGAAGGGATTGAAGAAGAGGAGCATGAGAGGGGGGGGGATAAAAAAAAAAAGATCAGTAAAATGTATGCAGGATATGGGTGGAATCGATAGAATGTTCAAACTGTGTCCTGAAGGCAAAATGAGGGGATTTAGTGGAGGGAAGACCAAAGAGTGGGCAGAGTGGGCCAAGGGGATGTGGAAAAGGAATGGGGGGATTCTGGGAAATGTAACTAGACTAATGGGATCTGTTGGAGGAAGAGGAGTCTGGATAGAAATGGCAATAACTAAAATGTTTTATTCATTGATTTTATTTTTTACTATGAATAATATAGTATTTCCACCCTTTTTATTCTCTGCTGATGAACTCTTGTTTTTTAATAAATTAGTCTTGTTTCCACCTCACATTTTCTTTATTTTTCCCTGTTTTATAGAAGCTTTCTGCCTAGTACTAAAAAAAATATTAACAATACTAATTATAGTACATGACAAAAAGTCTGTGCCAAGTTTATTGCTATTGTTACAGTTTCTAGAACCTCATCCCAATCCTGCACAAGTAGTTTCTGTATTGTTCTTGTGAAAAAACCACAACCAGCTTTTCAGTTAATGTAACTAAACACAGAAAATAGTTCCTTAATGTGGAAGCAAGTTTGATGCAGAAAATATGGTCACCACTCATCCCCAGGAAGAAAACTGTTCCTACTTAACTTTATTTTTTTTAATTACCTGGGTCAAAGAAGACAATCGCCTTGAGTGCTGAGTACTCATTGTCGTCTATTTGAATATTCTGGAAGGGCTGGACCAGCTCGTCCAGCACTCTGTTGGCCACCCGGCATATCTCTGGTTCAGGGCTGTTTCTGTGGATCACGCAGCCGTTACCTGCATGTGGGCAGAGAGCGTTGGTCTGTTTAGAAGAGAGTTGAAAGGGAGAGAAAGGTATGTGGGTGTGCACGGGTGAGGAGTGCTGGCTCGTGCTCGTGTGGAAGTTGAAACGGTTTTAGCCTTGAGAGAGAAAGATAAGTTGAATCTTGTCGACTTTTGTTAATCCTGTGTAAAGGTTTCAGTCAAGGTTATGATGAAGGAGTGCATGAAAGGTCCTAAGAAGTAACGCACAGTGCTTGAGTATGTGTCGTTGACAGATCTATCAGCTACAGTATGATGCAGGTAAATGCTGTAAGGAGCAATGCTGTTTACAGGAGACATTTGTGAGGGCATAAAGAAAAGAAACAGAAACCTGGAGTTAATCATTCTCAGCTAACACAACATTTGATCTCACATCACTGCTGAACCGCCTGATTGCACCACACATAAATCAAGCTTTCTTTCTCGTGGTCAGTCCGTACCTAATAGCAAGAAGTCCTGGAACGCCATTGACCTTTTAGCGACCCCGAGCAGGAGGTGTTCGCCCGCGTGAGCCCTGAGCAAGCTCACCTGGAGACAAAGACACACACGCCCACAGTTAAACAAAGAACACAAACAATGCGACAATGCCTCACGTACATCACACAGGGGGCCACACTTGTAGAGCAGTGTGAGCGTTAACTCTTTAAGAAGTGTGTTATTGAAGATACTTCAAATGAGTTTAATCATTGCTTCAAATATTCACCACTGCTCTGGTGTGTAGGTGGAGGTGAGCGCATTCTCCCACCCACAAAAACACATCGAATACACTGTATATAAAGGGAAGTGATTCAAAGTTGCTTTCGACAAAAATACTGGAGAGACAATGGTTTCAACTTTTCAACAATTGTTTCTTAATGAGATTTTAAGAAATGCAAGAGAGTGAGTGGCTGTGTCCAAAATCCCCATTAAGTGGATTTGTCATTTTGTTGTGCTGTCTGAATGTTTTTGAAATGTTTTATATCGTGATTAATTGCATCCTAAAGTGCATCATGTAAAGTAGTTTACAACCGATGGCCACTAACTGAGCAATATATACCATCATGCATTGCCAAATATTTATGATGGCGCAGGTTTTTTTTATGACCAGCATGAGACAAATCTGTGAGTTGTGGTGGTGAATATAATGTGATATGAGCAGGGCAACTCATCACAGCACAAACTGTGGCAAACAAATGTCTTTCTCCATTTAAACATGTCATTGAACTTGCTTTTTACCTAAAAGTATTAATACTTAGTGTAAAATCAACATTTGAAATGTATTATGGGATTTTACTGGCCAAATACTGTTGTGAGTCATGTCCAAGAAAGTTTTTCTCTCTTGCTGATGACCTCACTACGCAGTATACTCATAGAAGTCAAGCAACATCAGAGGCTCATCATCAGATTTCCCATCATGCATTGCATCTCACTTACCTGGTCATCCAGTGGCAGCTCTCCAAAGGTAGGAATGTATTTGGCCCATTCAACCAAAACCAGTAACTGCTGTCTCATCGACTCGCACAGGTCCCCAACCGTGGCCGACTTCTGCTCCGATAAGTCTGCCAATGCAACTGGAGCAGTGATCTGGAGAAAATTACACTTTAAATTTCCGTGCGTGTCTGCAGTTTAGTCACTTACATATTAGTCGGCAAGTAGGAGATGCACATAGATGATCGTCACCTGTTGGGACAGCGACTCTGCCTGAGCCAGAATCGTGATGGGCGGCAGGTCTTGGGAGTCAGGAATGTTTCTACGAGAGCTGATCCGATCTCTCTCGTTCTGAACAGCTAAAATAAAACAATACATTCAGCGAAACACTACATCCTTTATTTTTTTTATCATAGTAATTAATATAAGATAATTTTCAGGGCTTCCAATCTATTTCCTGCTTTCTTAGGTTTTGAAAGTTACAGGAAAAAACAGGCATCCTGAATGCAAACGATGACAGCAGACAATGGGGCAGTTAATATTTAGGAAAATAGTCATACGGGCTGGCATCAGCATGAGGAGTCAAACATTAACCGATGGCAATCCAGAACAACATGTTTGAATAACACATGATTAGGTGTCATAAAGTCCCATGCCAAGGTTATACCCCTCGTAAATACACACACACTAAGTAATCACCTATTTTATGGCTGAGGCGATTTCAACCATCTTGAAACTGCGTTCAGATTCTCTGCCTTTTTTTTTTTCAGGGCCACAAGGTTAAGTCTAAAATAGACATTTTGAGTGGATGTCTGATCTCTACATGTTTCAGTGTTAAAGAAAATACTAAGTTTCCATACCTTCTTTTTTCATGCCAGCTCGGAAGCATTTGTTGAGTCTGCAGAAACGACACTGGTTCCTCTTATCTTTATCCACAATGCACTGCCTGCTGAACCTGCATGTGATGGACGTGTCATGATGTAAGTAGCTTTGTAGAGCAAGACATGACGACACAGTGTACTAATGTGACAGGACATCAGGTTTTGGTGACTGGAAAAGAAAGTAATACACATAAATACTATAATATATATATATATGCAGTTTTTATGCACCTGCAGGTGTAGACGTGGTTCTTGCGTATGGAGCGTCTGAAGAAGCCTTTGCAGCCGTCACAGCTGGACGCTCCGTAATGTTTCCCCGTGGCTTTGTCTCCACAGATCGCACAGTTACTGCTGACTCCGTCTGGACCGGGCAGACTTGGCTCTGTTGGCATGCTGTCTGACACGCGCAGAAGAAAAACATTCACACTGGTAAATTGCACATGTATACACACACATTGAGTGCATAGACGTATAGAAGCCTTCAGTACGTTGGTACACACGAATTCTCAAAACAGAGAATAAAATCGGGTAGTCTGGTGTTGACAGTGTTGATCGAAACATCTTCTATTATTGGATCCTTCAAATTACTGTGTCTGTGTTTCAAGACAACAAATGAATGTGAGTTGACATAGCAATGTGTGAGTCTGATCCTTGCTGCGTCAGCCAAGGAGGTTTTGTTCTCCATTGGTTTGTTTGTTAATTTTAAAGCATGATTAAAGAAAGATTTCCATGGAACTTGGTGGAAGGATGCGGTGTGTGTCAAGGAAGAACTAATTTAATCTTGTTGCAGATTTTTTTTTTCAAGATTTTTGTTGATTTCTCAAATAATTCATGGATCTTGATGAAGAAAATATTTTTCAAAGATGTGACTTATTAACCAAATTGTTTTTGTGCTCCAAAGTGGCAATAGTCACAGGGTTTGGTCCGAGAGGATTGAAAACAGGATCTAATTCTTGAAGTAAGAATATTATTACAAAATCTGAAGGAATGTTTTATTAGAAAGAACACTTTTTCTAGCACTGTAGTAAATGCATTTTTGTTTATTATAGTACACACAATGCAGATGTTTGTATAACTGCTAAATCATTTGTGTGGTGTTTGATTTGCACATCACATTACAGTGTGTGGGTTGAGAAAATATGTATCAGGAGAAAGAATATATCGTATTTCTATTGTTGAGCATATTTGAAATTATTGTCAAAGTCATCTCCTCACCGTTATCTCCGTAATTATTACAGTCATCACGACTGTAATCATTATCAGCAGCATCGCCACTATAATGGAACCATAATCATCATCAGTATCTTTGTATTTATTGCTCAGACAGAGCCACAGCATGCACACAGCACGTGCAGCTATAGGTTCAGCTGCTTCCACAGACTCATTCACATCCTCCTCTCTGTCAGTCCCACATCAGGCAGGGTGAGTCAGTGTGGGAGGAACTCTGTGTTCACATGCTGATGTGATATCAGTGCATTGCTGTGGTAGATGCTTGCTCTTCAATAAAATGTGCTTTCTTTATGGTGTGGCTATTCTGGACCAAACAGTTTCAGTAACATTCAGATATCACACTTTTACAACATGTACCCAGCCCTTTTTCTTTCCTTCACAACCACAGACTTGCCACGAGCAAAAGTGACAGACAACTGGATGTGCTAACTATAATCGCCACCATTAAAATGTGAGGTGACATGATTTTGCAGATCCCTTATTCAGTCATACGTGTTAAGTAACACTACAGTAATCTCATAGTACAAGTCACATCAACATATTCGTGCATACATTCTGACAGCACTATATGCACGTCCGTCAGGGGCAATGTGGGGTTCAGGAAACACTGGAGGAGCCAACAATTGAACCATCAACCTTGTGGTCAGAGGACGATCCTCTCCTCTTCCTGAGCCACAGTCACATGAGGTGTCACATCATGGGAACACACACACAAGGCTATTGATATACTCTCCTTTCTCTGTTCATACTGTTATTCTCAGACACTGGTGGAACTGTGGTAAATGTTTACCTGGACAAAACACTTTCACAAACGCCTGTTAAAGTTATCAGTTAACTGGGATCAGATCACGTATCTATGATCAAAGTATTAGTATGGATGTGGATCAGTGTGTGTGTGTGTGTGTGTGTGTGTGTGTGTGTGTGTGTGTGTGTGTGTGTGTGTATAGCTGGATGCACTCACACTTACCTCCTCCACCACACAGCACATCTGCATTCTCAAAGCCCAGGGTGCTGTACGAGGGATCCAGGCCTTCACTGTAGTTGGCTACTTCCATATCTAACAGAGATTTACTCTGAGGAGTGCGAGGATACTTCATTCCTGTTTCAACCTGGTTCCTCACACTCTTCTTTTCTCTTTCCTCCCTTATTATCTTTCCAGCTCACTCTGAGGTCTCCCTCTCTACTTTTCCCCCCAACTATCTTCCTGTCTGCGCTTCATTTAATTCTTGCAGACATGACAAGGGAGATCCCTGGAATAAAGAGTCTGTAATCCCATTTGATTGGGTTGGGGACAAGGAGAGGGGAGGAGCCCTTGTGGCTAAGACTTCTTTCTTTATTACGTTTTACTTATCTGTCCTTCTCCCTCACACTTATCACTGGGATAGATAGATAGTGGTGAAAGAGTAATCTCACTTCTCCGCCTCTGCCTCTTCTTTTCTCCCTCTGTTTTTAAAGCGTGAGAGAGATTTCAGGACATTTTTACAGTTTGGGTTTTCATGTGCAAGCTTCTCTGCACTTGTACCTGCATGCACGAGAGGATTGGGTGTGTGTCAGTGTGCGTGTGTGTGTGTGTGTGTGTGT